GCAGAATGGGCATATAAATTTAACGATATATGCATCAAAGAAAGCCTCGTTCCAAACTATATATGTATATATATATTGTTTAATTATGAACTGTTATTATTATTATTATTATTATCATCATCATCATCAATATAACCATAACAATCACTACAATTATTACCATTAAGATTATAATTATCATTAGTGGTAGCAGTAGAAGTGCTAGTATTAGTGGTAAGAGTGGTATTAGCAATAGAAATAGTTAGTAATATTAGTAAATTTATTATTAAAAATATAATTATTATAGTTATAATTAAGTAAAATTCTTTTCATTTACTTGTTTTTGTTGAATATTAATTATTGGTTTAAAGTTGTCCGTAAATAATGATTCGGCTATTTTTAGTTCAAAGCAATTTAGAAATTTTTCTAAGTTTAAATTCTGTAGATGAAGATGAATGTATAATGGTTCTGTTAACAAATGCTAGAATTGTGCTAATTTTGTACATTACACTACATTCACTTTTACCATTCAAACAAAATCCTGGGTTTGTTGGCTTTACATATACTGGTCATGAATTTTTCATCATCAATTTTGACTAAAGTATCTAAAAATGGAAGACTTTTTTCAGTTGAAAGTTCACGAGTAAATTTTAGTTTTGAACTATTGAAATATGTGGTTTCAAATTGGGATTATTTTTAAATGCTGAATATTCTAGATGACCCATATAAAAATTGGCAAGCAATACTCCTAGAGGTGAACCATTGCTAAGCCGTCAATTTGTTTGTAGAGTTTACCGTTGGATGCATAAAAAGGAGCTTCTGTAGTACATATTTTTAAAAGAGAATTAAGATGATTTTTAGATATTTTAAGTGGTAAACAACATGAACATGGTAAACATAATTAAGAATGATATTAATAGTATCAGAAACAGGAACATTAGTAAAAAGCAATTCCACATCAAGATATGCAATATTAACGTCAATAGAAGGATAAGAAAAAAGAATAGAACACAAAGAACAAAAAAATCAACAACAACTACAATGCAACCAACAATAATAACAAAAATAACATAGTAATATATTATAATAATCTCATGTCAACCGCTTTCGAACAGGATGAAAAAATCATGAAAAGAATCATAAAAAATAACGTCCAAGCAACCAACAAAAACGATATTATTAACTTACGAATATACTACTACAACCAAAGAACGTCATCTCTTGTGATGACGTTCTCAAACGATATTATTAACTTACGAATATACTACTACAACCAAAGAACGTCATCTCTTGTGATGAAAAACAACTGCACTGGTAAACAAGAATCGATTATGGATCATAGTCATCCAATATATTTTTTCAAATGTAATATTGGTGAGTGTGTGCACCATAATTTCGAATATATCGGTATGACGACGACCAAGTTATCGAGAAGACTGACGATGCACGAACAAATTGGCGCTATAAAGAATCACATGAAAGAGAAACACAAAACTAAAATTATTAGTCAAAGCAAAGTCATGGATGACCATTGTGATAAAATACAAAAAGAATTGAAAAACAAAAGGAACACTAAAAAGGTAATGAAAAGATATTAAAAATAAAAAATTCAAAATTCAAAAAATTGTTGTTGTTAATCCTTGACTTTCGTAACTACCAACACCGATGTTATAACTTCAAAAATCTCTTTATTTTCAACACTTATGGCTTCCAACGATCGTCAAGTGTTCATTCTTCCGTAGGTTCAAAATTTCAAATAGATGAGCACAACTGCTTTAAACGCAAACTTTGTTGAACTTTTATTTGAATACCAACAGTAATAGAAACATCAAACTAATACAAGTTACTACATAAATCACATTTACGACTTCTCATCAAACCTCCTAGAAACCTGATTGTCAACCTGACTTACGCAGGCTGATTTCAAAATCATCAAAATCATAGATGCAATATTTCATAACACTCTATGGTTTACAATCCAAAATTTACAATTATAGCAAAGATAACAATAATAAGAATAACAATTAATATAGCGCGATTCAATCATTCCCGCGGTTATAACAATATATATATATATATATATATATATATATATATATATATACGTATAATGTATATATGTTTCTACAATATCTATACTAAGTTTAATTAGAAAAATTAAATAGAACCTTCAACCCAAAATTTTATAAAAGTTAAATAAAAACTATTATTTTGTTCAAAGAAAAAAAAATTACTGCAAGTTTTAAAAATTTAAACTAACCTATTTGTACAACTGGTCTCATAAAATCGCCTTCTTGATATTTGAAAACATCCCCAGATTGTGCTAAACCAAATATAAAATTATAAACGCTTTTTATTTTATATAATTTTCTTTGCATAAATGTTGTTATATTTTGATATAGATTTTTAAATATTGCTAAATTTGTTTGTTAACCTCCCCATTTTACGTGTGCTGGTATGATGCCCAATTTCTTTTTAATCGGTCCATTCATCAGTGAATCTAAATTGTCTGATTCCAATGTTTCCCCATCTTTTCTGAACAAAATACCTATCGTTATTGAGTGGTTTTAAAATGTTTGAATACAAAGTTATTAGCAACAAATATTTTATATTTTTAATATGAAAAAACCATTTACCGAAATCGCTATGGAGTTTTGAAATTGATGTAGGTACATTAAAATTTAAAATATTATAAAAGTCAACATTGTTTGTGTTCTTCATAACAGCTATTTCGGTTATTCGCCACAATTCCGTCGCCGCCTTCCAACGTCCTTCATCTACAGCTTTTTGGCATTGCTTTGCTGGTTTTTGTATGTTTTCAAGTCCATTTTCATCGGTGGTTGACTTTAATTAAAGGTAGGTTATATTAATATGGTTATAATAAATATATGTTAATGAGATTTTTTCCACTCAGGAGTTTTGATTTATAAGCAGGAATATTTGCAATAGTCTGCTTTTAACCAGAGCTGTTAAAATTTAGGTTTTTAAAAAAAAATTGGTTTTACAGATTTCTTTAACAGATAAATCTTCACCCGCGGTATAGACAGTTGCTGTGCTGTTGAAAAATTGCCAAAGACGCCGTAAATGTTTGTCTATAGTTATTTAATCGTATCTTTGGTAAAGCATTACTCACTTGTAATTCTTGGAAAGTACGTACATTGTTTGCTCACTTGTAATTTTTTGCACAAGATTATGCTGCATGTGTAAAAAATTAGTTGATGGAATACTGTAAAACTAGTTTATTAACACACCAGGAGCAACTGCTAAATCAACATTTTCAAATTGTGTTTAGTAACTATAATAAATTTTGAAATTCAGTGACTTGTTTACACCTCAGGTTATGAATTTTTCTTTAAAGTAATTTTATAGACAAATGTGAATATTAACATTATAATTAATATTATATAATATTAATTTTTGAACTATACATTTTACTCGCATCGCCTAATACATAAGCGCCTGTTGTTGTTACTCATATGGAATGTAAAATAAAAATCCCTAATTTCAAAATGTTAAGGTGATATTTCCAGCCCATGGCACTATTTTATTTTTTCGTTTTTTTTTTAGTTTTGTTGAATTTTGTTATCTGATTTTGCATGAAATCATTACAAATAGCAACTGAAGCAGATTGATTTTCCATGCATTTTATTCTGACTGGAAACTTAAATTTAAAAATTTAACCTTACTTATAGTTTAGATTACATTATGTATTCAACGTAGAATGATATTCGTATCGTTGTGGTACACGCAGATCCTGTGAATTAACCCCAACGGCAACAGTAGGTGTGAGATCGTGATATTGGGAAAACCAATTGCAAAGTGTGATCAAAGCTGTA